TACAACTTAAAAAAATAATAACAACATAATACAAAACATAAACAACAGCCAAGGAGCCAAATCAATGTAGATACATAATGACCGCATCACAGGGCCTCCGGCCTCATACCTGAGAACACCTCCATGTCTTAAGAGCCTTCTGAAAAGCTGGCAAGGGTTGGGGCCAATCAGATCTTGAGGTTCCAAAGGACAGGTGGAGCAACAGAAAGGGCCCACTTCCTTTCCTGGGTCCCACAAGATGACATTCTTTGACTGACAGGACCCGCGGCATGCCTCTCTAATGGGATGGATGGATCTATTGGGACAGGTAGATATTTTGCACTCCCATTCCAATGCCTCGCCAAGGGCCATGCTGGTAGGAGCTGATGGGAGACAATGTCCAAAAACTCTGGACCTAGAATGTATACCCTGATCGAGGCTCACTGATGGAACGCATGCTGGCGTGCGAGAAGTCACAGGTTCCAACCTCAGTATTTCCAGGAAGTTTGGAAAATTCCTGCATAAATTCTGGAGAACCAACACTGCCAGCCAGATGGACTAAGGCCTGGACTCATGCATGGTGCTAAGCCTCAATGGGATTTGTCTTAAGCAGCTGGGTACATACATTGTGCCAAGCCATGAATTCTTTAACCACATTCTATTGAATAAGCCACAGTTGGCTGGGTTCACATAACTTGCTAAGCTTCCTTGCCCCTCTGTTGGAAAAAGATTAGAGTCTTTTAGCAAACAGCACATTATTAACCATCCATGACTGTTGGTGTAGATTTATCCTCGCAAAACAGCATCATAATATTTTGGGCCAGTACCCGCCCTCCCTTCCCACCCCATGAGATCATTCCCTGCAGCCTCCCTCCTTCGGTTTCTGCATCATCTCTGTCTTATGAACAACAGACCTTGCCACAAGTGCAGCAGCAGCAGCAACAGCCACCCGTCTGCTTCTCAGCCCTTGCACAAAGACTCAAGCCAACTTTCCCAGCTGCGTTCTGTATGAGCGCTCCAAGCAGAAGCAGAGCCGGAAAGTTGGTGCTGTGGGGTGGGAGGGGAGGGGAGGGGAGACCTCCCAGTAGGCCTCCAAGGCAGGCGAGGACTAACACTCTGCCTGATGCTCCTTGAACTGGCTGAAAGTCAGGACCTCACAGAGGCTTCGGGGAAGATGGGACAGGCAGCTGCTGGACCGACGGTCCGTTCCCCAAAGCTAGCCAGCAAACACGAAGCAAGACATTTCCCCCAAAATCCACTCCGCGCAGAGATGCCGCCAACCTCAGGCTGGCTTAGACTCAGGTGGATTTCTTTAGGGTTAATCCAATCCAAAATGAGGGACAGGCTGAGTTTTATTTCTGTTTCCCGTGCCCAGCTGCAATTAGAGTAAGATGATCGATAATTTCCCCCAGGGTCACCCTACGGGGGAGATGGGCAGCATACAAATTTAAAAATTAATTAATTAATTAATTCCTGGCCGAGGCATCCACTGGAATGAAGCACACTGGGGCAATATGGTGCACAGGGTCTCCCATGGGCTTAAAGACAACCCTCTGATCCACCCACCACCTCTGGATGTAATTGTTCCATCATTCGAAAGCAAGTAATGAATGAGAAGCTGGCCAGCTACCGAACAAAATGACAGCCTTCCGCAGTTTCTTAGACTAACTCTAGGCCCCCTGAGGAATTTCTGAATTTCTAAGGAAACCATAAATTCCCAGAATTTTTTTTTGGGGGGGGGAGGGTGGAAGGGAAGAAGTGGGAACAACCCAGTGATGTATTTGAAATAGTGCCCACCTACTCAGCAAAGCAGACAATCTAGCATTATAGACTGGGAGGAGCAGGGAATGGGAGCAACTTGGAGGCTCTTATGGGTCCTTGTCACCAACTGTGCTCCTGATGTCAGCCAGTCTGTGACCGCACCTCTATTTTTCTTTTTTTTAACATAATGTATCTACTTATCCTAAGTAAGTTCTGTTTTGCATCATACAACATTACAGTTTTTTCATGACTGCATAGACCAGGGTTTCTCAACTCAGCAACTTGAAGATGTGTGGACTTCAACTCCCAGCATAGGGAATTCTG